ACTATACAATGAGGCCCTTTAATCTTCCATCATAGGTCCTATGTTCTCAACTTTTTTTTATCCTTTTCTGTACTATCTCCAAGATCAACACACCCCTCTGAAGTTATAGAAGATGAAACAGAGGAGCTTCTTCCCCACTCCCCTCCCCAGTAAGTACCTGACTCAATAGCCTTCATCCTCCAGCCAAGCACTATTCTGATGGCTCCTCACGGTAAGAAGGTCTTAGATTTTCAAAGGATTCTGCAGAGCTTCAGTTCTGGCTGGTCCCATGAGGCTGGGAAGACTTAGAGTGGTAGATTAGTAATGATCTCCATGTCTCTTATCCAATGAATAGCTGGGGGCCATTTCCGGTCATCCTGATCTATATCTTTTATTTTATTTTGTGAGTCAACTGGGGTTAAGTGACTTGCCCAGGGTCACACAGCTAGTAAGTATCAAGTGTCTGCGGCTGCATTTGAACTCAGCTCCTCCTGACTCCAGGGCGGGTGCTCTCTCCACTGCGCCACTTAGCTGCCCCAAATTTTGGTGTGTTGTTTCATCATTATCATTTTCTTTTTTTTGGCTAGGCAATGGGATTAAGTGACTTACCCAGGGTCACACAGCTAGTAAGTGTGTCTGAGGCTGGATTTCTGATCTATATCTTGCCGCTGGACCCATTTGACTCCAGAGGAGAAAGTGAGGCTGGTGACTTTGCACAGCCCTCCCTCACTTAAATCCAATTCACAAAGTCATGGCATCATCTTCCTGATGTCCTGGCCTCTTCCAGAGCGAAGGACAAACAACAAACAAGAAAACCAATGAACAGCCTAAGATCCGAGAAGCTCATCGAAATGCTGCCCTCAGGGTGATGAATTTTGGAGCCACAGCAACCCGTGAACAAAACAAACCAAGCTATAGAAGGGCTGTGATCTGTGCCTCTGAAACGACCAACAGTACTATAAACCTTTGAAGAACTGACAAATTCACCTGTAAATGCTTCCCCTTGTGGCCTTAAGAAACACACATTTTCCCAAAATTCCCAATAAAATCTTGGGAAAATACCTTTATGCTAAGAGGACCTAGTTCAGAATTGCTCATGTTATCTTGGGAATCTTTCCTTTTCTTACCTAGTAAACTTGATCATTGATCTAGCTGAGTATTCAAATGATTTCTTTTACAAGAAAACCACTGGACTAATAAATAAAACTAGAAGCTGATTTTATGGGGGAAAAACCAATAAAATAGGTAAACCACTAGTTATTTAATTAAAAAAAAGGAAAGAACAATGCTCAAGAGAAGCATGAAGAGGTAAACAGAAAAGAGAAATCATAAGGGACTTATTAAGGTTGAACTGTTTACATTCCTACATGGAAACATGCTTGTAACTCATGAGACCTTTGTCACTATTAGGGTAGTTGGAGGGAAAAAAATAATATGTAGATAGATAGACAGACAGACAGACAGACAGACAGACAGACAGACAGATAGATAGATAGATAGATAGATAGATAGATAGATAGATAGATAGATAGATAGATGGCACAGGGTGAGTTGAAGAGGAAGTGGTGATATCTGGAGAATAAACTTAAGGGGTGAGAGAGGATTATACCTAGAGAAGGAGAAAGGGAGAGGTAGAATGGGGTAAATGATCTCACATAAAATAGACAAGAAAAGACTTTTACAGTGGAGGGGAAGTGGGGGAAGGTGAGAGGGAATGAGTGATTCTCATTCTCATTGGATTTGGCTTAAGGAGGAATTAACATACATACTCAATTGGGTATGGAAATCTATCTTACCCCACAGGAGAATAGGGAGGAAGGGGATAAGAGAGCAGGGGGATGAAAGAGGGAAAAATAGATTGGAGGAGGGAGTAATCAGGGACAAGGTCAAAAGAGAGAATACAATAAATGGGGGGTAGGATAGGATGAAGGGAAATATAGTTAGTTTTCTACAACATAAGTACTATGGAAGTGTTTTGCATGACTACATGAGGGAGGAAGGGAGAAAATTTTGAACCCAAAGTTTTAAAAACAAATGTTAAAAACTGTTTTCACATGCAACTGGGAAATAAGATATATAAGCAATGGGGTACAGAAATCTGTCCTGCCCTACAGGAAAATTGAAGGGGAAGGGGATAAGAGAAAGGGGAGGAGACAGAAGGGGCAGATTAGGGGAAGAGGTAAAAAAAATATAAAAAAAATTAAAAATACTTTAAAAAAAGAAAGAAGAAAACCAAATTACTATTATCAAAAATGAAAAGGGCAAACTCACCACCAATGAAGAGAAAATTGAAATAGTTGTTAGGAGCTATTTTGCCCAATTATATGACAATAAACTCGACAATCTAAATGAAATGGATGATTATCTACAAAAATATAAGTTACCCAGATTAACAGAAGAAGAAATACAATTCGCAGATAACCCAATTTTCAAAAAAGAAATTGAACAAGCCATCTATGAACTTCCTAAGAAAAAAAGTCCCCAGGACCAGATGGATTCACAAATGAATTCTACCAAACATTTAAAGAACAATTAAGTCCAATACTATATAAACTATTCAGAAAAAATAGGTGAAAAAGGAGCACTACCAAATTCCTTTTATGATACAGTGCTGATACTCAAACCAGGAAGAACCAAGACAGAGAAAGAAAATTATAGACCAATTTCCCTAATGAATATTGATACAAAATTTTTAAATAAAATACTAGCAAAGATATTACAGCAATATATCACAAGGATCATACACTATGACCAAGTGGGATTTATACCGGGAATGCAGGGCTGGTTCAATATCAGGAAAACTATCAGCATAATTGACCATATCAATAACAAAACCAACAGAAATCATATGATTATCTCAACAGATGCAGAAAAGCTTTTGATAAATTTTCCTCTTTCCATTCCTCTTAAAAACATGAGAGAGCATAGGAATAAATAGAGCTTACCTTAAAATGCTAAGTAATATTTATACAAATGATTTTTTTCAATTATAGCTGTTTTCCAAATATAGCAAACTACTCCTTGCCAGCATTTAAATACCCAGAATTTTTTCAAAAACTAGAAAAATCCAAAATTGTTTGTAATATTATATGATAATGATTCTGTGATATTGAGACCTTCACATACCTTCTAAATAAAAGAAAATTAAATTGTGCTGAGTAGAAAGGGCCTCTGTCATTAGATTCTTTAATACCCTCTCTATTACTTAACATATATCTCATATAATTACAGTTAAAAATTGGCTATGTATCTACATCTTTTTTTTTGCTAACTCCTAAACATCTTTAATTTTCCCCCCAGAACAATAAAAAGTGAGACTATAAATGACTCATTTTTCAAACAAATACACCAAAATTCAACTATTTGAGTGTTGTTCATCAAGGTGGTCTCCAGAAGAAGTTATGCATTTGCTTCTACAATGCTCAAAACATCTCTGGCCATTTTTTTTTTTTACAACGATAGTGAGATTCGGAGCTAGTCTCATTATCTCAATCACCTCATTTTTCTGACCAAAAACTTAGCTTGATCCCTACCACATTCACCAAATCTGACTTAATAGGACTTCTGGCATTTTGCAAAAAATTAAATCTGCCCTGAAAAGATGAGGCTTCACTGTCACTATGGATATTTAAAATAATGTGCCTGCTATAAGCTCTTCAGAAAAGACTAAAGGAGAATTTTTAAAAAATGTTTTGAGTAGCTTTTTAAAAACAAAAATAAGTCTCATTGGAATGTTTATCATCTCCCAAGGTAGCTACTTTGAAAAGGACAGCTCTTACTTGGATATATAAGTTCAGTTAGATTTGTGAATTTAAAAAATGAACCCTATTACTTTATATACACACCTTCCATATCTACTATCATTATTCTTCACTCTATTAACAAAATCACTTCAAGTCTCTGAATCTCAGTTCTGTAAAATAAGGAGTCTGGGATTGAGAATCACTAAGGTCTTCTCCAGCTCCAAAATACGGTAGTTCTATAATTCAGCTTTTAATTTTCATTATCATTGACCACTCTGAGTTCAAACAATTCCTTTTCCCAAAATCAAAAACAACTCAACCTTTTACTTTTGTTTTTGTATTATGTGCAGTTAGTGAAAGATCACAATGTTCCCTTCTCAATATGAGTTCCTTTAAAAATATACTCCTGGCCATGCAGTCAAATGTTATGCATTTGCAATAATTTTCATCCTTCTTCAAATCAGATTTTTTTGTCAGCTTTAGAAGATTGCCACTGTGATTTAATTAAACTACTGCAGGTTTTAAGAATGTTCTACCAAGAAGGCAATTCTTCCTGTTTCATATAGACTACTATAGCCAAAACAAAACATACCGGGTAAGAATCAGAATGGAACACAATAATTGACTAGAGGAAAATACTCCACTTCTTTTTCTGCCATCATTTGGAAGATATATAGATTTTACTTTTTCAGAGGGATTAGGGGAAACTTTCCTTACACCCCTGTGGAGACTGGTTAATATCACAGGCACCTTACTTTGATAAGTGATAAGACCACCTGTTGAAATTTCATCAAATCACAGGGCATTGATAACAAATCAATAACACTAGAGAAAGAGGCTACAAATATCCACATTCTAGGAGACTATCACACCTTCCACAGCTATTCTTAACAATAATGGGCACATGTTCACAGAATACTCGCCCACTGAGGTTATTTCCATCTTTCCCCACCTTTATGTTAAGAATATTTAATGGAAATGTATTACTCCAGCTAGGAAAGGTGGGGGGAGGCGGCAGGGAACAACACAGAGCCTTATATTGTTAAAATGTTTCAAGAAACCAGAATTGGTCTCCTAGAGGGACTTTGAAACACGTCTAAAAATAAAGAAATTAAGCTAACCACTTCAGTTTTGTTTATTTTACAAATTTCTGCAATAAGTTAAAATAAGACATTCACATGGATTGTTTTGCTGAATTAAGCCTGTCATATTCACATCAATGGTACTTGAAAAATTGATCAACCTTTTCATCTTGTAAATAACTAGATGATTACTTACACAAATGTAGACATTGTTCCTGGTAGAGAAAAACTTCAAAAGTCTTATCTCGGTCTCCAGTAAAACACCCTGCACATCACAGAGCAAGGGGAAATCATCAAAGCGAAGGATTGGAGTAAATCTTAGGTCCCTGAGCCCACCTCCCGATATTGTTTAGAACATAAAGAGTTGGGGGGGAGGATTGAGGTGTGGCTTAAAAATCACTATTTTTCTCCACTTGAATAGAATACTGGGACATTTGAAGGAACCAGAAGCATAGTGAAACATAACAGCATCACATTTCACTCTGCCTAAGGATTCGACATTCCCTGTTTTGTTTTTAAACCTAACTTCCATCTCTCTCTCTCTCTCTCTCTCTCTCTCTCTCTCTCTCTCTCTCTCTCTCTCTCTCTCTCTCTCTCTGTGTGTGTGTGTGTGTCTCTGTCTCTCTCTCTCTCTCTCCCCCCCCCACACACACACACACACACACACACACACACACACACACACTTGTCTCCAAGTGCTGGATCAGATAGTTATTTACCTGGACTTCACCTGGATTCTGGAGCGGGACTTGCCAAGACTCTGGAAGAGCTGTAGCTGTCACCTGGCTCCATCCTGCAGTAACCAGCCAGATAAATGCTGAAGACTTGGTGCGAATGGGGATCCGGAGCCCGGAGGAGAAATCCTGACTTCTGGAGCCCCAGGAGATCAGTGTGACTCACACATTCCGCACCAGCCTTTTCCCACACAATGCCCGCCCCCCTCAGGTAACCTCACGGAGAGCCTAGAGAGAGCTGACTCCTCATTATCCCTAATCATAGGGCACTCACTGGAAGGCTTCTTCTTCCTACCAGCTTCTCGGCTCTTCTCCCTTCCCCTCTTCCCCAGCCTGGGGGCGGCCCTAGGAAAGCCAATAGAGCTAGGAAGCTTAGCCCTGGGGGATGCTGCTGCCGCCCCACCACACACATACACACACACACACACACACACACACACACACACACACACACACACACACACACCCCTTGACGCTTGACCTCAGTTAGCTTCTGTCTCTCTCTGCTCCGTCTCAGGACACCTTTGTAAGTCCCTGTACAGACACTAAGGTATCACCTTGACACCCTGGGGCCATCCCCTTCCAGGGATGCTCACCTGTGCCTCTCCACACACGCTGCGCAGCAGCATTGCCACGATCCGTGGCTGCCAACCGAGCCCCTGGTCCTCACTTCTTCCCGAGTCCGTGTTCTCCCCCACTGACCACTGCAGCCGGCAGAGCAAGCTCAGGCCGCCCAAGCCGGGCATTCCCTGGTAAGTCCCAGCCGTTTCTGTCCCCAGCCTTTGCCCTGCTCCAGCGCCAAAGCAGTAGCGCCTCCTGTGGGCCACATCCCCAGATCACAGTACGAGCTGGCACCAAGAAACAACACCTGGGACTTGAGAAGACTAAAAGGATGGGTTGAGGGATGAGCGTTGAGATTCCCGGGGTGCGGCTTAATTCCTTTCAAGCACTTCTGGGCTACCTGTGAGTTAGTTTGAATGTTTTGCCTCGGAGAACGAAAAGAGGCCAGCAATAGCTAGTCACTGGAGGACCTGCAGTTAAGTGGCAATGCTCTTTGGGGTCTTCAGAGCATAAGAAAGGTGTTGGGAAAAGGCTGTCCAACATCGGTTTGTTTGCATTTTACTAGACATCAGGGACCTGGCACATGGAAAATTACTCTATCCTGATTTGTAGACTTTATAGACTGAGAAGGATGTGAGGGAACAGAGAATGAGATGGATCCACAGGATTTGAGAGTTGAGACTTCATCAGCCATCTAGGCCAAATTATCCTTGAAAGGAATCACTTCTATAACATACACAAAAAGCTTTTGCTCGAATGCCACTCCCTCTAGTTACTAAGTCAATAACCACTTATTAAATGCCTAGTGTATGCCTTGTACTGTGCTTTGGAGATACAAAAAAAAACAGGCAAAAATAGTTCATGTTCTAAGAAGCTCACAATCTAATGAGGAGACAACATGCAGACAACTATGTTCAAACAAACAACATATGAGATAAACTGGAGATAATTAACAGAAAGAAGGTGCTAGAATTACGGGGAACCGAGAAAGATTTTCTAGGCAGCTGGGATTTGAAAGAAGCCAGGGAAATCAGAAGGCAAGGTTGAAGAGAGAAAGCCTTCTAGGTAGGCATGAAATGCAGGCAGGGGAAATTCTCAGAATCAGATTGTAGTGTCTTATTTGAGAAATATTTTGGAAAGTTATTTCAGAGTTTGTTTGGGAAGGAGGAGAGGTGTAAGGTTTAAAAAGACTGGAAAGGTGGGGGGAGAGGCAGGAGAGTTTTGAAGGCCAAGCAGAGGATTTTATATTTGATCTTCAAGGTGATAGGGAGCTACTAGAGTTCATTGAGTAGGAGAGGAGACATGGTCAGACTTGTGCTTTGGGAAGATCATTTTGACAGCTGAGTAGAGGGTAGACTATAGCAGAGAAAGATGTAGCAGATAGACCAACCAGCAGGGTATTTCTATTAGGAAGGCATGATGTAATGAAGGCCTGTACCACAGTGGTAGCAGTATTAGAGAAGAGAAAGGGATATGTGAGAGAAGTGATACGAAGATAAAATCAACAGTCTTTGGCAACAGATTGAATATGGGAGGGTAAGAGAGTAAGGAGTCAGTAATAATACCTAGGTTGTAAGCCTGGGTGACTAAGAGGATAGTGGTACCTTCAACAGTGATAGGGAATTATGAAGAGGGAAGGGTATTAGGGCAAAGGATAATGAGTTCAATTTTAGGACATGCTGAGTTTAAGATGTTTAGGGGACATCCAGTTTGTCCAATAGGCAGGTGGAAATGTGAGACTGGAGGTTATCAGAGAAGTTAGGGCTGGTTAAACAGATTTGAGAAACATCAGCATAGAGATAACAATTGAATCCATGGGAGCCAATGAGATTAACAAGTGAAATAGTGTAGACAGAAGAAGAGAAGGCAGCCACTAGGACAGAACCTAATCATGGGACACCCATGATTAGAAGGCATGACTTGAATAAAGATCCAGCAAAGAAGTCTGAGAAAAAATGGTCAGATAAGTGGAAGATACAAGAGAAAGCAGTGTCATAAAAACCTAGAAAGAAGAGAGTATCAAGAAGTGTGGGATTGAGAATGTCAAAGCCTATTGAAGTCAGGGAGGATGAAGATTGAGAAAAGGCCATTAGATTTAGCAATGAAAAGATTGTTACTAACTTTGGAGACAGCAATTTTAATAGAATCATGAGAATGGAAGCCAGACCATAGCAAGTGAGAGAGAGAGAGAGAGAGAGAGAGAGAGAGAGAGAACAAGAAGAATAAGAAGAACAAGAACAAGAAGGAAGAGGAGAAGGAGAAGAGGAGGAGGAGGAGGGTAGAAAAAAAAGAGGAGGAGGAGAAGGAGAGAACAGAAGAGCTCTCTTGCACAAAACAGACTTTCAAATACTTAAAGATAGACACTACTTGCCCCTAGCTTCTCTTCTCCAGGATATGAACCTCATCCCTATCAAATCAAATTGTATCATGAACAACATCAAATCTTCCTAGCATGCCTAAAAAGAAATGATGGGAGGAAAAATCAAGCTAAATCAAGAAGAAAGTATAAAGATCAGCTAGTCGAACCACCTCATTTCTCAGTTGAACAATCCAAGGCTCAGAGAAATTATATGCAGCTTTCCCAATGACATCCAGGTAAACATTAGAGGAAGGCTTTGAACTAAATTCCTCTAATAGCCAATGTGCTGCTCTTTCCTCTGTACTACCTTGAGAGAGCAATAGATGGCAGAAGTAAATTCCCAACTCATTTCAGTTGCCACTATTCTTACTGATGTGTCAGCAACAGAATATAAAATTTCAGAGAGGAAGGAGATCCCCCTTGGACTATCCCTCATAGCATTATTTTGCTATATAATTTTCATGAACTCAACACCCACACAATTTTGACATGCCAGCTAATACTGAAGCCTTCCTCCTTTATGTTTTCCTCGTTTTGCCACATACTCTGTTGCCATTCCCAAATCCTAAAACCCTTGAGTTTTTCAAGCTGTAATATATCTCTAACCTTCCCATCCTCCACACTTATTTTCAAAAAATTTCTTTGTTCTGAGTCTTCTTACTCTTCTAACGTCTGCCTTGCTGTTCTGTTTTTGGGTCGGCTCCCATAGTACTCCTGAAGGTTTTAGCTCGAGGTAGTTTTGAATGGCACATGGGGTACCCCTATGATACTAGAAGAACAAGAAATGGGTGCATTGCATAGATGGCCATGGAAAGAAATAGACAAGGATTTCAGAAGACAAGAGGGCATAGAAGAACTGTGGCTGGTGTCGGAAGCTCCCACATTGATTAAATTATGAATCCCTCAAAGTGTCAAAGTTCAGAAGGACAAAATTCAACACAATTTAAGCAAATTGTGGGGAAATAATTACAGAAAACAACACAGTGCCTGGCAAATGGCAGATAGGCCCTTAAATATTGATTAATTGATTGATTGATTGAAAATCTTAATTATAATCCTATGAAGCTTTATCCCTAGGACTGAGAGTACAGTCTTCCTATCCACAGACAATCTTGCATACTATAGAAACAAATATTACATTTTATTATTATACTATATATTACATATATTAAATCATACATGAAAAAACTATATATAGTATAAATGATGGTGTTTTGCTTTCTTATCTCTGTGTATACAAGCTATGTGTTATCTGGTTATATATTTGATATAGTAGCATAGAGACTGTTAGGAATATAGGGACTGGACCTAAGATTTCGTTAGTATAGGGAATTCTCACAAGAAAACTCCTTCTTTCAATGTGACACTTTCCCTGCATCTTATAGTCTTAGTTTTCTAGAGCACTGAGAGGTTACTTGATTTTCCCCAATGTCATGTAGTCAGTATGTGTCAAAAGAAGGGCTTGAACCCAAGTCTTCTTGACTTGGTCTCTATCCACTATACCATGCTTCCTGTTCTTTTTAAATGTAGTCCTACACCTAGATGACAATACAATTAGAAGCATCATCTTCAACCATAAAGTATAATATGCATATGAAAAGTGATATTCCTTGGCAGCTCACTTACATGGGGCATAAATCTGACTCAGGATTCTAAGAGAGACATTTAACTGAGTTGAGTCTTCTTTGGAGTTCTGTATTGAGAGCATAGTTGTTCATCTGCATGATCATTGGCAATGGAACATTTGGCTAACTGGAGAGTATAGCCTACCCCAACAATCTAGATATGAAGAAGCAGAGAATTTTTAGGTTTATAACAAGAAAATTCAAACACTGTTGAGAACTGTTATATGAATATGGGGCAAATATAGTTTACCTGATTATAGCCAGAAAAATGAGTTTGATTACTAACTGTTAGCTAAGATAGAGTCTTTCATAGAGAGAACCTAGATGCTGAACCAAGCAAATTTTAGGAAGAAGGTGAGAGGTAAAAAATAAAAATCTTAAAATTGTGTTAGAGAGAGACTATATCCTAATTCCAAAGAAGTTAGGAGGCACAATGGAGTGTTATATATAAAGTCAGAGACTTTAATAGTTGTGTGACTCTAGGGAAGTTATTTAATTTCTCTCAGCCTCAGTTTCTTCATCTTCACAATGGAGTTAATAATAGCATCTACCTCATAGGGAACTTGGAAAGATCAAATGAGATAATATATGTGAAGTGCTCTAAAAATGTTAAAGTACCAC